GTACTCCATGACGAAGGAGTTCTTGCGGATGCGCTGCAGCGTGCGCACGCCCTGTCACACCTGTCACACACACCTGTACCATCACACACACCTGTCACACTCACCTCGCCCACGTACTCCATGACGAAGGAGTTCTTGCGGATGCGCTGCAGCGTGCGCACGCCCCAGCCGCGCCCGTCGTTGGTGCGGAAGATGCACAGGTCGTAGCGGATGCCGCGCTGCACCACGCGGTTGGGGCACTCGGCGCCGCAGCGGCAGTGCGAGTTGCACTCGTAAATCGGCTGTCCCGGCCGGATGCGCACCTGTCCGTCTTGGTTGTAAGCAAACCTGCTCCGTGATGCGCCCGGACAGCAGCCCCCGTTTGTTTTTGCCTCCGCCAGGCAGTCCTGGCACTCGCAGCCGGCCGTCACGGGGGTCAGCGCCACGCCTGCGCACACCTTGCACTCATCGATGTACACGAAGTTGCGGGGCGGCCCTTGCAGGTCCACGTTGTTTTCGATGGAGATGCGGCCGCGGTGGCTGCGCGTGCAGTTGATGTTCTGCTCCCAGCGCCGCAGCGCGCGCCGCTGCTCTTTTTTCTTCTCCAAGTACAACATGGCGCGCGCCGGCAGACCGCGGCGGCCCGGCCGCACCGGCCCGCCCGGCGCCCGGGCCAGGTCGGCGTGCAGCTGCTGCAGCAGCCCGCGGCAGCGCAGGTTGCGGCGCGGCTCCCAGGTGTTGGCCGACGAGGGGTAACCACGCCACTTGACCAGGTAGAAATCCTCGTTCTGCGTGGGTGGGGGGATAAAGGCGGGGTTAAAGGGGGGTTTGGGGTAGGGGGTGGGCAGTGGGGACCCCCAGGTGTGGGGACTCAAAAGGTCTGGGGGGTTCCTGGAGTGACCGCAAGGTCTGGAGACGCTGGGGGGTCTCATGAGGTCGGGAGGGACGCGGGAATCTGGAGGACTCTGAGGGTCTCACGAGGTCTGGGGGTTCCTGGGGTGACCCCACTGTGGGGGTCCTTTGGGGGTCTAAGAGGGTTCAGGGGGTCCTGGAGTGACCCCAATGTCCAGAGACCCTGTGGGGCTTTTTTGGGGCTGGGGCTTCTTGGAGTGACACCAATGCCCAGGGACCCTGTGGGGCTCTTTTGGGCTGGGGGTTCCTGGAGTGACCCCAGGGACCCTTTGGGGCTTTTTTGGGTCTGGGGGTTCCTGGAGTGACCCCAATGCCCAGAGACCCTGTGGGGCTTTTTTGGGGCTGGGGGTTCCTGGAGTGACCCCAATGTCCAGGGACCCTGTGGGGCTTTTTTGGGGCTGGGGGTTCCTGGAGTGACCCCAGGGACCCTGTGGAGCTTTTTTGGGTCTGGGGGTTCTTGGAGTGACCCCAATGCCCAGGGACCCTGTGGGGCTTTTTTGGGTCTGGGGGTTCCTGGAGTGACCCCAATGCCCAGGGACCCTGTGGGGCTTTTTTGGGTCTGGGGGTTCCTGGAGTGACCCCAGGGACCCTGTGGAGCTTTTTTGGGTCTGGGGGTTCCTGGAGTGACCCCAATGTCCAGAGACCCTGTGGGGCCGAACTGGGTCAGAGATTCTTGGGGTGTCGAAGCCTGGGGACCTTAAAGGAGACCCCGACGTCCCTGTGGGGGCTCACGAGGCCAGGGGGGTTTTGGGGTCACCAGGGGGTCCCCGTTTGCCCCCAGGGGGTCTGGCAGTGCCCAGTGTGGGGGTCCTGGGCCAATTCTGGGTTTGGGGGTCCCAGTTTGGGGGCCTGGCTGGATTCCTGGTCTTTGTGGGGTGGAATCCCGGTTTGGGGGTCCCGTGTAGGGGTCCCCGCTCTGTTCCCAGTGTCTGTGGGGGTCCCGGTTCGGGGGTCCCGGGTCAGCTCCCAGTTTGGGGTGCTGATTTGGGGGTCCCGGGTCAGCTCCCAGTTTGGGGGTCCCGGTTCGGGGGTCCCGGGTCAGCTCCCAGTTTGGGGTGCCGGTTCGGGGGTCCCGGGTCAGCTCCCAGTTTGGGGGTGCTGGTTCGGGGGTCCCGGGTCAGCTCCCAGTTTGGGGGTNGGTTCGGGGGTCCCGGGTCAGCTCCCAGTTTGGGGGTGCTGGTTCGGGGGTCCCGGGTCAGCTCCCAGTTTGGGGGTCCCAGTGTCTGTAGGGATCCCGATTTGGGGGTCCCGGTTCGGGGCTCCCGGGTCGGTTCCCCGTCCGGAGGTCCCGGTTCGGGGGTCCCGTCCGGGGGTCCCGGGTTGGTTCCCCGCTCGGGGTCCCGGGTCGGTTCCCCGCTCGGGGTCCCGGTTCGGGGGTCCCGTCCGGGGGTCCCGGGTCGGTTCCCAGCTCGGGGGTCCCGTCCAGGGATCCCGGGTCGGTTCCCAGCTCGGGGTCCCGGTTCGGGGGTCCCGTCCGGGGGTCCCGGGTCGGTTCCCAGCTCGGGGGTCCCGTCCGGGGCTCCCGGGTCGGTTCCCCGTTCGGGGTCCCGGTTCGGGGGTCCCGGGTCGGTTCCCCGTTCGGGGTCCCGGTTCGGGGGTCCCGGGTCGGTTCCCAGCTCGGGGGTCCCGTGTCGGTTCCCAGCTCGGGGGTCCCGTCCGGGGGTCCCGCGCCCCTCACCCGCACTCGCCGGTAGTCGCAGATCGTCTCCACCTCGAACTCGGCGAGGTTGCGGCGGGTGACCCCCAGGGCGCGGCACCGCACGCGCTGCAGCCGGCACAGCTCCTGCAGCCGCGGCCAGGGCGACAGGCAGCACACGGAGCACTCTGCGGGCGGCACCGGGGCGACAGCGTCAGGGGACGGGCGGCACCATCGAGCCGAGCCGAGCCGAGCCAGCCGAGCCGAGCCGAGCCGAGCCGAGCCGAGCCGAGCCGAGCCGAGCCGAGCCGAGCCTCTCCCGCCCGTTCCCGCCACTTCCCCCCGCTTCCCTCAGGCGCCAACGGCCGCGCGCGGGCAGCGCCGCCGGCCCCTCAGAGCGCCCCCGGCCCGGTTCTCCCCCTCCCGCAGCCCCGGAGACCCCCCGGGCCCGCCCCGCTCTCGCCACCTTTTAAATTTTCCGCCATTTTCAGCCGCCGCCGCTTTTTTTTTTGTCGTTTTCCGCCTTTTTTTTTTTTTTTTTTTTTTTTTTTTGGCGCCGCTTCCGCCCGGCGGGCAGCGCGGGGGGCGGGGCTTCCTCTGCCCGCGCCCAGCGCCCATTGGCTGGCCCGGCTGCTGATTTGCATAGTGACAGCAGCCCGCGCGCCTTCCATTGGCTGATGCGGTGATTAATTTCCATACCGACACCGTCGCGCCCCTTCTCTATTGGCCACCGCGCCGCTTTATTTGCATAATATCTGATCCCGCCATTGGCCGCCGCGTCGATTGATTTGCATAGCGCTCCCAGCAGCACCCGCGACTGTTCGTTTACATACTGGTGCGAAGGGACCGGTTTCCATTGGCCGCGGCGCTGCCTCATTTACATATCGCTCCCAGCAGCGCCCGCGCACGGCGCCGATCCCGAATTCCGCCGTTTTTCCCCCATTTTCCGCGCGGTTTTCCCGGCTCGGAGCCGCTGGAAGCGCCGGGATCCCCTCGGGGCCCCTCCCCGAGCCGCTGGATTCCCGCTCCCTCTCCTCGCTGCCGGGGCTCATTAAACGGTAATTAATGAGCGATTCATTAACGAGGCGCATGGTCACGTGACTCCTGCGTTTATTTGGGGG